TAAATGGCACGCTTAAAGACTTCCGCTATGTATATTAAATTTGAACTTGTGTGATTTGAAGTTTGATAATTAAGTAAAGTTTCTGTTTATTATTATAAATGAGTTTAGTTTCACACTTGTTTAAAATGTTTAATCTGTTTTATCGAGTTTAAGAAAACAGATTTTCAAAGAAGTTAAGTTTTAGTAGCATTCCGAGTTAAGAATATTTCGAAAAAGTTATAAGTATGTTTCGAAATAAGTTGTGAAAAATTTACTCTGATGAGCGGGGTGTTACAAGCATAATCCTTTCTTTCTCCACTATTAGTGTAACCTCCTCGTCCACGTCCATATCCTCGGCCTCGATTTGGTCCTTGGCCACGACCTCTCCCATATTCACCACGACAGTTGCATGAACCTTCATCTTTACCTTTTGAACTCACTTGCATTTTTAAAAGTTGTTCTACAATATCATTTTTCTTTTTCTTTTTTTTTGTTTTTCCTCATAAGCTTGTAGTGAGCCCGTCAACATATCAATTGTCATTTCCTCCAAATTTTTTGTTTCTTCAATTGTGACAACAATATGCTCAAATTTTGAAGTTAATGAGCGTAATATTTTATCCATTATTCTGACATCCTCTAGTTTTTTACCGTTTCTTTTCATTTGATTAGACACCGCCAAAACTCTAGTAAAATAATTCGAGATAGATTCGGATTCATTCATGTGAAGTGACTCAAATTCACGTCTTAAAGTTTTGAGACGTACCTTTTTCACTTGCTCGGCTCCTTTGCACGAGACTTGAAACTTCTCCCATGCTTCTTTGGTGGTGGTGGCATTCGAGATTTTCTCGAAATCATCATCTCTCAATGATTGGTAGATGAGACAGAGAGCCTTCTTATCTCTCTTTCTTGAATCCCTTAATCTATCCCTTTGTTGTTGGGATAGCGATTCCTCATTCGCCGGCTCCTCGTATCCATCATCCATAATCTCCCAAACATCGTGAGCTCCTAATAGAGCTCTCATTTTGATGCTCCAATTTATCGAAATTTCTTTTATTGAGTAGAGGGACTTTGAAAGATGGTAAACTATTCGCCATTACATGAGGACCTTATAGCTCTTGATACCACTTTGTTGGAATAAAGGGATATAATTTGGGAGGATGTATTCTATTTTAGTGGAGAAAATATACAATTTGAGTGTGAAAGTGTTTATGTGTGTACAAGTGATAAATTTATGTGTGTGTGTGTGTGTGTCGTGCCTGTATATATGGAGAAGTTGTTGGGTTTTGCTCTTTTGTCCCACATCGAAAGTGGATGAGAGAGGAGGGGATTTTTCCCCTATATAAGAAGGTGCTACTTCTTATGTAAAATCATCCCACAGAGTTATTGTGTTAACAATTAATCTCTGGTTAAAAATTCCTTAGGGTGAGAGTTAAGGTAAACGGATAAAAAAAATCTGTGGGGTAATTTGGGTATAAGTGAGTGTAGAAAAAATTGTGTGATTGCAATTTTTTTTTACATAGTGGATTTTTTCTACGGCCTTGTTGCCCTGGTGGTTTTTCCCTCTTCGTTAACAGAGGGTTTTCCACGTTAAACTTTGTGTTCTCCAGTTTTATTGTTTCCAGCGGATCTTGGGTGTAGTTTTCGGTGTGTTAGGAATTCCCAACAAGTGGTATCAGAGCGAGGTTAGCCTAGTTGGTATTCTGAGTATGCTCTGTGGTTGCAGTTTTGTCTGATCTTCCACATCAGAAAAGATACTAAAGAGGTCTGTTTGTGCGGTGGAGCCAGTGACGGGTGGAGCTTGTGTGCAGAGGAGTTTTTTGGGTAGTGGGGAATAATTACTGTGTAAGTAGGTTCTGTCTAGGAGACTGGTTTTTTAAGTGGGACCGTTGTGACCCCACCAGCCTTTCCTGGGAGCTTACTTAGAAGGGTAATTCTTTAGGGGGCAGGTCGCTACCCTCCCTGAGAATTTATCTGATCAGTACTATTAAAGGTTGCTGCTAGGTTTTCTGCGAAGTTAGTGTTCACTGATTCACGAAGATGTCTGGAAATAAGATATCGAATCTGGCGAGATTTGATGTGGAGAAATTCGACGGAAAAATCAACTTTGTCTTGTGGTAAGTGCAAGTGAAGGACGTGCTGATTCAGTCGGGGTTACACAAAGCTTTGAAGGGCTCGGAAATTCCCAAAGGCAGTGCTACCAGCAGCACTGAAGAAAAAGCTGGTGTGAGCAAATCTGGAATGAGCAATGAAGATTGGGAGGAACTGGATTTGAGAGCGGCGAGCGAGATACGACTGTGTCTGGCCAAGAATGTTCTTGCTAATGTTCATGGAATTTCGACGGCAAAAGCATTATGGGACAAGCTTGAGGAGTTGTATCAGGCTAAAGGCGTCTCAAATCGAGTGTATCTGAAGGAGCAGTTTCACACACTGCGAATGACTGAAGGTCAAAGCATCTCAGACCACTTAAGCGTTCTCAATGGAATCGTCTCGGAGCTGGAATCAATTGGAGTGAAGATTGATGATGAGGATCAGGCGTTGAGACTCATCTGGTCTCTTCCAACTTCTTATGAACACATGAAGCCGATCTTGATTCATGGGAAGGAGAAAATTATATTTTCTGAAGTCACTGGTAAACTTCTTGCGGAAGAGAGAAGGCTAGACGGTGGACGAAACAATTCACCGGAAGGTCAAGTCATGCTCGTCGGTGATGGAAAGAAGAGGAACTCAAGGAAGAAGCAAGTTGTGATTTGCTGGACGTGTGGACAATCCGGGCACGTGAAAAGAAATTGTCCGAAAGGAGGAGCAGGTTCGGCAAAAAGCTCGAAGTCGGTAAGTGGAGATACCGAAGAAGCTAATTTTGTCTCTCTCTCCATGGATGAGTTTTTCTAAGAGAGAAAGGGGAGTCCTTATGGCATGTCGCTAAGTGTCATGAAAGAGGACTTGTTACAATTAGCGGGTCCACAGTTTACACACGGGCATTGGTTTGGCGGTGATGCATGGTGTGTGGTGGAAAAGCGTGTCGAGGGCTGATGAACTTCTAGGAATGCCAAACGTGGAAGTTGCACCATAGATTTCAGCAAGGTTATTTCGACATGGGCCGAAGAAATGCTTGGATGCGAGTCTGAGTGGATATGTTTTTATGGTGGAGCATGATAGCGAAAGCTATAAAAAATTTCATCAAAGTGAATAGTGGCTGTCAGATGGGCCAAAATCGCAAGGTGGAGTTTGTTGGGTTTTGCTCTTTTGTCCCACATCGAAAGTGGGATGAGAGAGGAGGGGATTTTTCCCCTATATAAGAAGGTGCTACTTCTTATGTAAAATCATCCCACAGAGTTATTGTGTTAACAATTAATCTTTGGTTAAAAATTCCTTAAGGTGAGAGTTAAGGTTAACGGATAAAAAAATTCTGTGGGGTAATTTGGGTATAAGTGAGTGTAGAAAAAATTGTGTGATTGTAATTTTTTTTTTTTACATAGTGGATTTTTTCTACGGCCTTGTTGCCCTGGTGGTTTTTCCCTCTTCGTTAACAGAGGGTTTTCCACGTTAAACTTTGTGTTCTCCAGTTTTATTATTTCCAACGGATCTTGAGCGGAGTTTTCGGTGTGTTAGGAATTCCCAACAGAAGTGAAGTGAACAAATTAAATATGATAATTGGTAGGAGATTTTTTTTTTTTT